TATTTTTGTCCTTATTGACCCTATAAGTTGGACTGCTTTTAGCGTTGGCTTGGGCACTAAACCAGTCATTATTAGCTTTATATATTCTGCGCTTTTCATTGCCTTTTGCAATGGCTGCGTCTTATTTTTTAACTTTCTTGTGCTAAGTTTCATACTGTACGGTTTTGTTTTGCAACTGTAAAAGTTTTTCTGCCTTTACATTTGCTTCAACTTCTTTTTATATACTCATCGCTATCCATATTATGTCTTCAGGGCTTTTTTGTTTTTATCTCTTCATCTTTTCAAGTACTTTATATTGAGTAGTATATGGTTTTTCAAATTATTAACATCTTTGTTCCATTTTTGCTAATTCTGCTGCTTTTTCTGACACTTTTTTCGCATATATTCCTCTGTACTTAGTTCTTTCAGTTGTTCTTCTTTCTTCTTTTTCTCTACGTTTAACTCATTGAGTTTCTTTGTGTGTGTCTGTCATATTCTAGTTTCTTTTCGTTTTCACTTATTTGTTTCTGTATGTCTATGTTTGACTTTTTGACATCTGTTATTTGATTTTTGAGTGAACTCAAATTCATTTGACTTGAGGGTTATAAGCTGTTCCGTCTGCAGCTCCACCATAGCCTGCCATTTTCGCTAAAAGTGCCGCTCTTAAACCTCCACTCTGTGCACCAATAACTCGGTTTAAAAGCATAGGGTTGCTTGACATTTGTTGCAACATAGTGGGGTCATTCATCATTTGTTGTTGCAACTGTTGTTGTGGTGTCAGTTTTACTATTGGATGTTTCAATGCTCCCTTCCTCTTACGTATATTCTTACGTAGCTTACGTGGCATTTTAAGTGAAGTTAAAAAGCGGTTTTTGACAGATGTTTATATGACACTTTTTGTTCAGCACAAAAAACTACTCGGTCAAAGTGTTGTCAGTTTTGTAAAATAACCGTCCTATCTCATTCTATAAGGGGAAAAGGCTTCTCAAAGTATACTTCCTTGGAACGCCTGTAACTTTTCCTGTAGCGACGTTAGACCCTTACTTGTCCGGACAAAGTTATACTAAACATCTTCAGGGCTAGAGGGCACGAAGTGCCTGGAGGCCCCACTACCTTTTTTTTTTTTTAAAATATATTATAAAGAGTATTTATATAAATATTGTAAAATAATATAAGTAATAAAAATTGAGACCCCCTCCCTGTTTTTGATGTTTTGTCACTTTTTCGGTAATTCTTATTGTTTCCAAATATTATCCAAGAGAAGAATATTCTACAGTTGAGGATATGAGGTCATACAACTTGACATTAGATGCTATGAACTTTAACAACAACTTCACAACGACCATTAACCCTGAAATGCAAAGTTCTATTATGCCATATGTGAAAGTATGGACTCATACAGGAGGTCAAAAAACTCAATATACAAATGGAGACCGTTCAAACTTTTGGCTTGGCATTCCATTTGCTGACTCAGAAGACTT